TATTATTATTATTATTATTATTATTATTATTATTATTATTATTATTATTATTATTATTATTATTATTATTATTATTATTATTATTATTATTATTATTATTATTATTATTATTATTATTATTACAATAAACAATATCTGTGCCAAAATCTCTTCACAAATATTTGCTTTAAGACAAATGCAATATGTATTGGATAAAACTATACTAAGGACTGTCTATTATTCTATAATACACAGCCATTTACAATATGGCGTCATACTGTGGGGCAATGCTGCTGCATCCCCTAAAGTATTTCTTCTACAGAAGGCTGCTGTTCGCATTATTGATGCAGCAGAATGTGACGCACACTGTCGGCCTATATTTAAAAAGTATAAGATTCTCCCACTTGCTTGTGTATATATCTTAGAAACTATGAGTGAAGTTCACCAAAAACTAAGAAATCTAAATACACATTCGAATGTACATAGCTATGACACAAGAAATGCAGATAGTCTTATACCGCTTTGGTCTAGATTAAGAACATGTAAATATAATAAATTAGATGTAAACATATATAACAAGTTCTTAAATCTAAATAGAGGAAAAAACATTAAAAATTTGTCTATTGAAAAATTTCGTAAATTGGCCAAAGAATTTTTAATAAGTGAATGTTTTTACAGTTGTGAGGAATATTATAAATTTCGAATATAAAAGACTTTATTAAACATATTTTTATATATGGTATCTGTGTTCAGTTGTACAATTTAACTTTTTTTATCTGTATATATCTGTTATCTGTTTAATTTTTACCAATGTTTTTTTTATCGTTTTTTATCTATACAATTTTATTCTTGAACTATTTTATGATATAAGTATATGTATTGTAATTAAAATTAGGACCCGTATGTACAAACTGTATGAAAATTGGTCAATAAAAATCTATCTATCTATTATTATTATTATTATTATTATTATTATTATTATTATTATTATTATTATTATTATTATTATTATTATTATTATTATTATTATTATTATTATTATTATTATTATTATTATTATTATTATTATTATTATTATTATTATTATTATTATTATTATTATTATTATTATTATTATTATTATTATTATTATTATTATTATTATTATTATTATTATTATTATTATTATTATTATTATTATTATTATTATTATTATTATTATTATTATTATTATTATTATTATTATTATTATTATTATTATTATTATTATTATTATTATTATTATTATTATTATTATTATTATTATTATTATTATTATTATTATTATTATTATTATTATTATTATTATTATTATTATTATTATTATTATTATTATTATTATTATTATTATTATTATTATTATTATTATTATTATTATTATTATTATTATTATTATTATTATTATTATTATTATTATTATTATTATTATTATTATTATTATTATTATTATTATTATTATTATTATTATTATTATTATTATTATTATTATTATTATTATTATTATTATTATTATTATTATTATTATTATTATTATTATTATTATTATTATTATTATTATTATTATTATTATTATTATTATTATTATTATTATTATTATTATTATTATTATTATTATTATTATTATTATTATTATTATTATTATTATTATTATTATTATTATTATTATTATTATTATTATTATTATTATTATTATTATTATTATTATTATTATTATTATTATTATTATTATTATATTATTATTATTATTATTATTATTATTATTATTATTATTATTATTATTATTATTATTATTATTATTATTATTATTATTATTATTATTATTATACGTGATTAATATATGCTTTAAACACATAAATAATAACTTTTATACAGGGTTTCTACTATTTCATAGAGACAGTATAGCTACTTCTTAAACCGTAACAGATAGAAAGTTGTCCCACATAAATTTGTCCGCCGCAATATTGTTTCATTTGGCTATGGCTGTGGCTAATATAAAACACCATTTTTATCCATATCCAAAAAACACGTTAAAGTTAAATTTATACGCCTTAGATTCGATTCCACCGTTGTGTTAAACGGAGATTAAAATGACATAAAAATGTCATTTTAAACTTCGTTTACACAACAGTGGAATCGGTCCTTAGTAACTTGTGTTAACAGTACATGGCTTGTCGCTTTTTACATCTTAATATTGTACAAAAAAAATAAGAAATTTGGTTTAATAAGTTGTAATCCAGCTGTTTATTGAGCCATCGCGTGGCATCGTCTGCGTTGCGGTGGCTGTAAGTGCTTCGCGTTTCGTGCATTCGATTCGAGAGCACGGAGCATTAGCAGGAGGAAGAGTTCCTGCTGGTCCGATGGAAGTGAAAAACGCGGCCGGCTTAGGAAGTCATTCAACGGAAATCCCGGCCTCATTCAATTAAAAGGAACACGGTCTAATCCGTTGCCGTCCTTTGTGCCTCCACCAGTTGTTAATCTGGTTACAGAAATCGAGTTCACTTCGCAACTACTGGCTGTCCGATCGATTTATGATGATATGGATACAAAATCGCCGACCGGAACGGGCGAGAGACTGCTATATAGCGATTTAGCTTTAGCTTCGGCTTTAGCGACGACGGTGTTTTTATACACCGATGAGGAAATCAAATACTCAAATACTTTGATGACAAAGTGCTAAAAATCATCGTATGGTTAACGATTTTGCTCCATCTCGCGTTAAAAATGTTTGATATAAATAGAATCGAACGTCGAATATAGAATGAAGAGCAGGATTCAAGCGATGAACGTGAAATATTAAGCGGAATAACAAGAAATTACTTAATAGGGATGATTTTATTGAAACTTTACGATGGTCTCTGAACGAAATTTACAGAATTAGTTAAAAGCATTACATTTCAGGCAAATGCCATCAAACAGCACGTAAAGCTCCAGGAAAACCAAAATTTCAATTAGAAAACCTTTTGAAAGAAAGACTTCGAAGGAAAGTGCGTGCGTTCTTCTTTAGAAAAGAATTTCCGACAGTAGACAAAGTTCTTGCCACGGTTCGAGATGATAAGGATTACCCTGAAATGAGTCGAAGCACACTATGGAAACTTTTAAAAGAAATAGGTTTTCTATGGAAAAAGCATTCCAGAAAGTCTATTTTAATAGAAAGAAGCGATATTGTAGTATGGAGAAGAAATTACCTAAGGACTATAAAAGAAATGAGAAACCAAAGAAGAAATATATTTTATTTAGATGAAACATGGATCAACGAGGGACATAAACCAAATAAATTTTGGCAAGATGAAACTGTTACAAGTCGAAGACAGGCTTTTTTAAATAATTTATCTACTGGTTTAAATCCACCATCAGGAAAGGGGCGCAGACTAATAATAGTACACATCGGTAGTTCAAACGGTTTTGTTAAAGGTGGTTTATTGACTTTTGAATCTACTCGTACCGGTAACTACCATGAGGACATGAATGCTGATGTCTTTAAAGAGTGGTTCGAACAAATTATAGATCTTCTTCCTCAGAACTGTATAATAGTAATGGATAATGCAAGTTATCACTCGAGACTTATAGAAAAAATGCCTACAACCAAGTGGTTAAAAAAAGATTTACAGGATTGGCTAAATTCAAAGAATATTAAGTTCCATCCCGGTTCTGTGAGAAAAGAACTGTATCATTTGTGTTCCCTCCATAAAGAGAAATTCAAAAAATATGAAATTGAGGAAATTGCAAAAAATCGTGGGATAACGGTGGTTAGATCACCACCATATCATTACGAAGTAAACCCGATTGAACTGATATGGATATGGGCACAGATAAAGGGAGAAGTTTCAAGAAAAAATAATTCTTTTAAAATGCGTGATGTTAAACAGTTGTTTTTGGAGGTTGTAAATAATGTGAAGCCTGAAAACTGGGAAAAGGCAGTAAATCATACGATTAAAGAAGAAGAGAAAATGTGGAAATTGGACAATATTACTGATGAAATGATCGAGCCCTCATTGTAAATATTGGTTGCGACAGTTCATCTTCTGATTTCGATTCTGATTTGGATTTGTAGGTAAGAAGTAGTTTTTATATTAAAATTATTATTTATGAACGTAACGTTGTTTAAAAGTCAAAGTTTAAACCCTTATACCTACATAACCCGTTTGACACAATGTTCTTAACATACCTTGTGGAAAAATAAAACATTTTAGAAAAAATTGCACTTTTTTACATTCAGCTGTTTAGAAGTTATAAGCAGGTTAATTAGGTGAAAATATAAGTGTATACTCGAGGAATAACTTCAAAAAATATTTTAACTGTCTACTAAAAAAAGTAATACGCCTATGGATTACGAATGCTTTATTATTTTAATACTCTCTCATACATCAAAATAGACTTATAATTAGGCCCGTCCCTGGGTTGCCGTTGTAGTTTTTTATATAGTCCCTTCGTTGTGCCGAAATAGGAAGAATATCTTCACCTTCAACTATACGCAGGCAAACATATCGCAGGTTAGAAGCGCTACATGTACCTACTATTAAACAAATGTTAACACTTTGTAAGATTAGAGAATTTTCTGTAACTTTTAGACTATTAAAAACTTGACGACAATTACAAAGTAAAACAAAAGGGGAAGGCAACAAGTGTAAACATAAAAAGTACAACATTTTTCGCAATTAAACCGAGCAAATCGCATTTTTAGTTTTTTTTTGGGCCATAAGTCCCAATGGTTTTTAAAATAATACAGTTACGTAACTTAAAGAGACTTTTTGGATTTTGCAGTCATATTGTAGTACACGTTACGCTCTATGCAATGGTACCAATATCTCTTTTTTTTTAAATAGTGCGCTTTTGAACAGTCTAATTTTGGATTACCTTCAGTTTTAGAATCTCCAAAATATTAAGTAGTTTTTAATAAATTAACAATAATTTAACTTGTGACACTCAGCCTGTTTGGGATCGTTTACAATCTTACCATATAAGTGCTATACCTATTTATTTAATAAGAACTTTGATTGTTTCAGGTGTCAAGCAGGAACCGGCAGGTGTATAGTGGATAAGGCGCACAGAAATCAATGTCAAGCATGCAGACTCAAGAAATGTTTGTCTATGGGAATGAACAAAGATGGTAAATTGCATATATTTATTATTTCTTCAATCTTCCGTTGAGTATATAAGACTTTAAATCTGATGATTACATTAATCAGTGAGTGAAACTTTTAACTAATTAAAACAATAAATAAAAAAAATGGACTACTCTTTAACGAACTACCCTGCAAATAATTTAGTTTGCTGCACCGAATCAACGACGTACAGCAGAAGCAAAGCAGGAACACAACAGCAATAATAAAACGCCCGAGGAATTCTAAATTTCTGCTTCTAACCCGGAAAATGGACGAGTTCGCTTCTACTCTCTCTATCTCTATTTCTATTTCTCTTTTTCCGATTGCGATTGGCTTCATTTATGCGAGAATTAGAGGATAAAGCGTTAAAATGTACGCTCTCGACTTTAATGTCATTCGGATTCGGCTTTCGGCTTGCGGTTGCTCCAAACTCTAACAACTTCACCAACTCAGACAACTTCCGAATGTCGTTTTGTTACCTTGTGAACGTCGCGCCTCGCTTTATCTTTCTGATTTGTCTGCTCCAGGGCAGGGCGATCGCTTTTGAGGTTCACGGAATGAATTGGAAGATGGAAATCGCGTGATAAATTTCAAATTCTAATTACACAAGTGTTATTAGAGAGAAGGTATTAGAAATTCGATCGTTTCAGAACGTTTCGAACTGTTGCCGAGATGATTTTGATTTTTTTTTTATAAAAAAACTGAAATAACTCAGCTCAGGGCCCGCTCTAGCCCTAATGAGAGAGAGAGAGAGAGAGAGAGAGAGAGAGAGAGAGAGAGAGAGAGAGAGAGATGCTTTATTGTCGTAAAAAAATTTACAAAAATTTTATAGACAAAGCGTGTAACTTAAATACTAAACATATTATTAAAAATAACTAAACAGCAGAAAAAACAAACAGAAACAAACAGACAAAATAGGAATAACAATTGCAATGGATATGCAATATCCGTCATTATAATTATTCTAATTTAATTTTTAAATTTAAATTTAAATTTAAACTTTAATATTTAATTATTTAATTAATGCCATTGTATGTGGAACTCAAATGTCTAAGGTACGTTATAAAATTCTGCTACTGTGTAATATGGTCTTTCTAGAAGAAAAGCTTTAGCCAGTCTTCGGAACTTATCGTATGTATTTATAGATTTTAATTGCATCGGAAGGTTATTATACAATTTTTTGGCATTGTAGGTAATGGAGTGTTTTAATAGGTCAGAAGTGGGCATTGTTAAATAAACATCAGTCTCTAAATTTCTTGTAGGATATCTACGAGTCGGTCTTTCGGATAAATTTTGAATGTGCTTGCGAACTAAGCAGACGGATTCGAAAATAAATAGAGCAGGAAGGGTTAGAATTTTGAAATTTTTGAAGTAATTTTCGCAATGTGTCCTACTACTTAAACCAAATACATAGCGGATTGCTCTTTTTTGCAGTTTAAAAATAGATTCGAAAAGGTATAAGCTACAAGAACCCCAGAAAGGTAAACCATAGCGAAGGTGAGATTCGAATAAGGAAAAGTAGGTTATTAATGCAGTAGAAGGAGTCAGCTCTTTAGAAACCGATTTAATGGCAAAACATGCGGAGGATAATTTTTTTGCTAAGGCATCTATATGAGCAGACCATTTTAGAGAATCGTCTATATCAAGACCTAAAAACTTGATTGAAGTCACCGTTTGGATCAGATTATTGTTTAAAGTTATCGGTTGTAAAGTACCTCTGTAAGACAATGCTACAGTTTTACTGGTGTTGAAACAAAGTCCATTCGAATCAGACCAGGACTTAATAGTCACTAGATCTTCACTTATGATAGATTGTAATGTCTGCATGTTAGAATTATTCCAGGTTACACTGGTGTCATCAGCAAATAAAGTAATTCTACCACTTATTCTTAAGTCTGTGATGTCGTTGATGAATAATAAAAACAAAATTGGACCTAATACTGATCCTTGAGGTACTCCACTGCTTATTGCTAGATTTGTAGAATCCTCACCATTCGCCCGCACCTGTTGATTTCTATTTTCTAGGTAAGTTTTAAACCATTGTAAAGGAGAACCCCGTATGCCATAAATTTGTAACTTATTAATTAAAATATCATGATTTACACAATCGAAGGCCTTTGCGAAGTCACAAAATACTGAAGCGGTGAAAAGTTTATCATTAAGTGATGTGTATATTTCATTAAGAACGGAAAACATTGCGTCGCTAGTGCATTTTTTAGGTAGAAAGCCATACTGATGAGGATGTTATGCTTGAAAAGAAAGGGCAAAAGACGGTTTTTCATTAGCCGTTCTACTATCTTCGATAAGGTAGGCAATAACGCGATAGGTCTATAGTTACAGGTTTTGGTTTTGTCGCCACCTTTATGAAGTGGGATTATTATAGCATCAGTGAAGTTAAAATGTTGATTACTACATCCGGTATATTTAGAAATATTTTGGTGGACAGGCCATCAATTCCACAGGAAAATTTATTTTGGATGTTGTTTATGGTTTGCACTAGTTCATGCTTGTCTACTGGTCTTAGGAAGAAACTTTCAGTGATCCTTTTAGTAGGTAGGAGGAAGGAGAGAGCATCCTGACTCGGAGCTATGTTAGATTTGATATTTTTACTTACATTTACGAAATAATTGTTTAGTTCATCTGGGCTAGGATTTACACTGTTTGAAGAACGGGTTTTATTCCTTAAGTCATTTATTATAGACCAGGTTTCTTTGGAGGAGTTTTTAGCTCTTGCGATGCGATTTTTGTAATAGTTTTTCTTAGCAGATTTGGTGATTTTCCGATACAATATTCTGTAGTTGTTGATATAGTTTAATATTAGGGGATTATCTGTGTACTTTTTAATATACATGAGTGACCTCATATTTTTAGATGATGTTCTTATTCCTTTAGTTGTCCAAGATTTATGACATTTAGTTTTAATGGGGCGAAGGGGGAAAGCTGTATTGAAACACATAATTATTTTATTTAAGAAGTCTAAAAATTTAGAGTCAATATCTTCAGAAAGACCTTCAGAAAGACCATTCCAATCAGTAGTTAGACATAAATTATGTCATAAATATGTCACCCCGAAGAAACAGACAATTTGCCACCCCATATACAGACTTATTTTTATGTTGGCCGGCAATTAAACCCCGGAAAAAGTGTCTGCCTTTTTGGAATTAATTTTTTTTATATTTAATTAAGACGCTATTAAAATTTCAGCGTTGATCAAACACTTCAAATCATATTAAAAAAAATCAACTTTGAGGTTAATTTATTAATTATAAACCATCATAAAAGTGTCTGTCTCAATTACTAGTATTTTTAGAATTACCTAAACTTTCAATTGTTGTTTGTTGGCCTCTGAATCAAACAATTTTTTTGGGTCATATTTTACGACCCCTTTCTATTATGCGCAGAACCTGGTGTCCCGGGGTAGGTCTAGCCAACACATATATCTGCTTTTCCATCCAAATGATTTCAAATTACAAAATTTCAAAGTGCATCAAACACTTAATGAAATTTGTGTTACTACCCCTTGGACTATTATAAATTATAAGTTTTTTACGAATTCGAAATAAACGTTAAATGTCAATTGCACGTATGTGCTACTATTTAATCCTACTTGGAAATATTAGCTTTTAGGTCTTCTAATCATTATATTTCATGCATGCATAAACAAAATGAATACATTTTAATGAGAAGAGAAAAAAATACCAAACAAGAGAAAAAACATTTGTATAATACATCGTTAATTATGATTTAAAATTTTAGCCAAGTCATGAACAAAAAAGATTTGAATTAACTTATTTTCTGCTACGGACTTCGCGAATATACACATTTAAATCTCTGGTGTATTCCAGAATGCTCCCCGCCAAAACTAGAAACATCACGTTCTATATGGTATTTATTCGAAAGCGCCTTCACCATAAACGTCACATATGTTTGGTCTTAAAGGTTTCAATTTCGTATGATACTCCGACAAGTTCAGCCTCAAAGGCCAAATACAACAAAGAGGAACTTGGAGGATTAGAGTACGATTGAATAATGAAATGGCTCGCATTACATTATTAATATTTTAATTTTAATATTTATAATATTTTGTCACATTCTGACAGTAAAAATGCCGCCCCTAAGATTTTCCGCCCTTTGGAGCGGGCCCTGTTCCGCTTCTTATTAATTTATGAAGCAGCACATTTTATCTGCTCAGGGCCACTGCCAAACATAAACTTGCGATAGTTTTTCTTGCTAATGTAATTGGTTCTTAAGGAAGCCTCTTTGTCAAGAACTGTTTCAAGATTCGCTGCGTTTTCCATTCGATCCGCAATTAAAACACAAGACCAACTAACTCATCGCGAGCTTTTAGAAAACCGGAGACGCGACGGGGTGCCCATTTGCGTGAAAAATAACCCCTTTTGCGGCCTTTGTGAGGACGCGACGTGCCGAAAGAGGCGACACGTGCGTTAATCCGCGAGGCAGGCAAAACGTATGTAAAATAATTGTGAATTTGGTTTAAATAATGGATAATGGTCTCTTCCTGAACGCCACACCGCCATTACCACAACTCCACCACCACCGCCACCACCACCACCAAAGCGTATTTAATGTGCTGCTGTTATTGCTGCTGGCGCAAAAAGATAGATAAAAGATAAAAGAAAGATGATTAGTACGATTTGGAGTTTGCGTCGCTTGAACGGAGGGCTGTTAACCTTTTTTTGTATGTTCTTTGTTATTCGGCAATTATCGTAATGTCGCAACTTTGCATACAACGCACAACGCAACGTACGGTACGGGGAAAATTTACCATGTCAATTTATATTATATACAAAAATATCTCATAAGTTTTGACTGAAAAGTACTATCTAAAATATTGTACAATTAAGGTTACCTTATCAAAAATACAATTTTCTGACATTCTTAATAAAAATAATAAAATTATAAAATAATTACTAAACGTTTTATTAAAAAATTACCACCGTCAAAAACTAAAAACAAAAACAGTTCCTTAATTAAAATATCGTGAAATTAAATATAAAACATTATATATAATGCAAAGGGCATACACAAATACAACTACACAAGACAACAAACGCCTAATAAACATGTACTTAAAAAATTAATTATTATGCAAAAGTTAATTTCAATGGCTAAAGGATTTTACGAATATACCCTACCTTAATACGTTTCATGATTTTACTGAAAATACCGGACAATTTATAATTCCCGGCGTATTCCGGACAAAACGCAGACATTTCGGACGTGTCCAGAATTTTTCTAAAGTCTGGTGACCCTAGGTACACCTACAATGTCTGCATTTTATACATGTTGTTCTTAAGAAGCCCGATTTGGGCTTTCTTAAAATCTAATGGGCTTCTTATCATCTGAGCAGAATGTCTATTTGGGCTTCAGAATGATATTTTATGTGTAGAGTTCTATCTTTTCGCCGTTAATATATTTCCGTTTCCTAATGAAACTCCTTGTATGGAAAATAATAAAAAACAATGAATGTTTTCTTAAGTAGTTTAATTTAGGAACTATTTTCGTAATAATATAAACTTTGAAATAGTTTTTTGTGAAATTTGTGTAATATTGTTTAAAAAATGAAAAGAGGTGAATTTCTGCTAAGACTAGCTATAAATACTAAGCTTGCTATTGTTACTGAAGGAGTCATCAATGTTACCATTCCCTTATAAAACTTTTAAATGTACAATGGAACATGTGATACATAATTTTAAAGTGTTTTTAATTCTTTGTTCAGTACTATAAGTATCTTGAACATAAATACTTGATTAAAATAATTTTTTGCAACTATTTCAAAGTTTTTGTCAAGAAATTAACGAATCACAGTTAAGCACATGCTTTAAATTATTTATGTTGAATTTTAAATATACCTATTAGATTTCTGAGGAGATTTCTTTCTAAAAATTATTTTAAACATATCAAACTATTACTAATAGGTAGTTAAAACCACTTTTAAATGAGGTGTCACATGCCTCATTTTCATTTAAATTTTTTTAAAGGGTAGCTAATATTCCAAGTGGTTGAAAAGAGATGATACATAATTGTACTTAAAAAGTGATAAAATCGACAAGTTTCATGATTTTTCTTAATTATTGATTGAAAATTAATTTATCTGTTATTTTAATATCTCATTCTATATTAAAATTAAATAGGTACAATAAAATTTTTGGATATAAGCTGTCTGACATTCATTTTTCAAGTAAATCTATGTTGCCAAATTTGGGGGCTTCTTATAGTATGCACAACGTATTTGGCTCCTATAATTTATGTACTATATTCAATTATATACTTTTGTAATCGTGCGCTCTCTTCAGTAAACTGCGCTGCACTAAATGTAAATAAGTTATAACCGATTTATGACTGCCTATGAAATTTTTAGAAGTGTTTCCAGATGGCCCTAGCTACATTGTTTACATTTTATACATGGTGTTTTTAAGAAGACCAATTTAGGCTTCATAAAAATCTAATGGGATTCGTATCACCTATGATAAAAGTTTTATTTGAGCATCGGAATGATGGTTTAACACAGTTTAATACAACACTTATGCATATAAGTAATTAGGGTTTACAGATTAAGATTTTTGTATCTAGGTACTCTTTTCATCAATAGAAATACTGTTTGCCTTGTAAGTACATTTTATTGCAATTAGGAGATACCTCCATGTGAGATTGTTTAGGATTGGTAACAAAATAAACATTTATTTTTGGAATGTGTTTATTATTATTAATTATCTAAAATGTGGCAGTAATTTAATTACTCTTTGGTAAATTTCAAAATGTCAAATTGCCTAACCCATTTTTTCAAAATCCATTTGAACAATATTTCAATTTTGTAGGTGTGTGGTAGTATTCTTCTTCTCATTGTTTTCACTTTTGTTTGTTACATAAAGTATGATTAGTAGACATTAATAAATTACCACTATTTTAAAAAAAAATTGGTTAGACATATTTTTCACTAGATAAAGCTAAAATTAACTGAGTTCGTAGTCATTATTTGTTTTCATTTAAAGTATCTCATTTTTTGGCGTCCTCTGGTGGATTTTTTAGTACTATGCACAATTTGGTGTTATATTTTAAAGGGAGTTGAAACACCTTTAAAATATCATTCATCGTAATTCAACTTCAAGATTTGTCAATCGTTTCACAGGTTAGGGCTGATTCCACCGTTATGTTAGCTTACCAACATCAAAAGTACGTTTAGCTGATCTATACGACAGTTTAAATTAATCTCTCAAGAGTGAGCGCTTACATATTTCACTTCATTCTTATATTATACCTAATGCGTGAAAAATGGCTGAAGTTATCCCAATTCCTAAGCCAGGAAAACCTCTGAATGCAGTGTCATCATATAGACCTATATCATTGTTACCGATAATACATATCTAAGTTATTTGAAAAACTACTACTAAAACGACTAAAACCAATAATTGAAAATACAAATCTAATCCCTTTGCACCAATTTGGTTTTAGAAACAAACACTCGACAATAGATCAAGTACACAGGATAGCTGATAACTTCGAAAAAGCTTACGAAGAAAAATATATATGCTCAGCTATATTTCTTGACGTAGCCCAAGCATTTGACAAGGTTTGGTACGCTGGCCTCATACAGAAACTTGAAAAAATGCTCCCTAGACAATATGTTGACATTTCTCAATCATATCTAACGGGAAGAATGTTTAGAGTAAAGCAAGACAAAGCATACTCTAAAATAAAATAAATTAAAGCAGGTGTCCCACAAGGCAGTGTGCTAGGATCGGTTATTTACTTATTATACACCAGCGATATCCATCAACAACAATGTGTCAAAATAGCAGCATTTGCGGATGACACTGCAATATTGGCAGTTGGCGGAACTAATACAGAGACCTCAGAAAAACTCCAGGAAACCTGCAACAGAATCAGTCGATGGGCAAAAAAGTGAAAAATAAAAAGAAATCCAACTAAATCAGTGCATGTTGATTTTACTCTTCGACCAAATGAACAAAAACAAAAAAGAATAAACAATGACGTTATTCCGCATCACGATTCGGTCAAATACCTAGGGATGAACCCAGATGTAAGACAAATGGTAAGAGCACATAAAAAAGCGTAAAGAACTTGAACTTAAATTCAAAAAAATATATTGACTTCTAGGAAGAAAATCCAAATTGTCAGTGTACAACAAACTGCTGATTTATAAACAAATCCTAAAACCAATCTGGATTTATGGCATACAGTTATGAGGATATGCCAGCAAGAGTAATATCAACATAATACAAGTTTAAAGTTGAAGGTGGTAGCCATGTGTGAGTTATAAGTTCAGAAAAGGTAAATCAAACAAGGGTGGTCCTTAGGATCTCACAAGAGTATATTTTATTACGACCGGTTTCGAGGATCAGATCCTCATCATCAGGTAAGGTCTAAAATAGAGAGGAAAAACGAATGAGCTCATAACTAATAAAGTGGGTTTAAACATTTTAATATGAAAGTTGTCAAATATCAAGTAATCGAGTAATTACGGGTGAGTTCTAGAAATAAATTTAATGATAAACAAAGATAAACTTCTAAAGTGAGCACAACAAATTTGTATGATAATTTAAGAAAAAACAATTTAAACAAAGCACAAACCATTTAAAGATTTGACAACTATGACGACATTGACACAGCCGTTGTCATATTTACTTTGCTTTTGTTTATGCCGCGTTTGAGAATCCACATCGGATGCATTTTTTACATCTTGAGCGTTTTTTTATCCACCTCGGACACATCTGTCCCATTACATTTACGTATACTGAATCACGTGATCAAAGATTTACTACATCTCAGATGCATCCGATGCATAGAAATAATAATCCGATGTGGATTCTCAAACGCGGCATAAGTCACACTAACGGCCAAAATCACACTTATTAAGGGCGGGTTGTACAAAGATTGCTGTAAACTCAGTTTAGCTAACATGAGTTTAATTTTTAACTGGTTATATTTAATATAAAAATGTCATTTTTAAAACTATGTATACGTATAACCGATGATTATTTTTTTCGTATAACTTTTAACCAATTGGAACGTTCAATTTAGTTAAGTTACTTCGTATAATTTCGAAAATACCTGATTATACATAGAGTAGCTCCACCAATCAAAAATATTTACAATAATTTCATTTCCGTCGATGTGGTTACTACGACGGAAATACACTCGTGTCAGTTTGACAGAATAATCCTACCGTTTCGCGGTCGGATTATTTAAACTGTCAAACTGACACTCTTTATAATTATGCAACAAGTTATCGATGTATAACCTGATTATTTTGAAGTACTTATAGTATTACTACTGATTATACAAGGAGGTTCACAGTTTGAACTAAGATTACATTTTAACTGCCTATTGTACATTGTACAAGCCACCCTTAGCTGTACCGATTGTCAATATTTCGTGGCGATTATACATATTATAATTTATTGACAATTTAGCTCGACTATTATTTCTTATTTCAACGATATTACAATTTTTATAAACAAATATTTAAACAAAATTTGTATAGATGTAAAAACGATATACTTTTTTTGAATCTACAGAATGTTCACCATATTTTTCTTATTATTATAGGTACGATTACAATTTAAAGTCCCGTCACTGTTTTTCATTTTCTTTTTTAGCTGTTCAAAACGAAAGGCAACCAAGGAACACGGCCACCATTCGTCCAGAAACGCTGCGAGACATGAGCGCCGAACAAGAACGGGCCCTGAGAGAAGCCGCCGTCGCTGTGGGAGTATTCGGGTAAAACAAAAGTCAAGTAAATACCGCGTGTTCCTCTATATTTTACCGAAAATTATTCAAATAAATTCTTCTATACCGTTTATTGATAATAATTGTTAACGAAAATACTTCCGTTTTTTGCAGTCCTCCAGTGTCTTTAACCATGGCTTTCAACCCTGCGAGGTACACCAATACCTTTTTACCGTCCGTACCCCATTCGACGTTAGCCAATATAGAACCGTCACCAAAAGATGCAGCCAGCGATAACGACGGTGAGTCAAATTCATTATAAAAATGGGGTAACATTTCACAAAGTTTATAATTATTTGAAAAACGTAACGCCGATTTACACAAAGGGGTAATATGTGTATGTCGGGTAACACACACGAAAGGGTAACATATAAATAATGTTGTTATGCGAATTGGTGACATGCACGAAATGTGCAATGTGTACGAAATGGTATTACATGCGAAGGGGTAATATATACGAAAGGGTAATATTTATGAAGGGATAATATACACGAAGAGATAATATATACGAAGGGAAAACACATACGAAGGGGTAATACGTACGAAGGGGTTACATATTTGGATGAATAACAATTTCTATATTGTTTTAATTAATAAATTTTTAATTTGTTTTCGGGCATAGAAGAAAGTATAGACGTGACGAACGAGGAGGACGATACCCCTTCGTCGGGGTGTGCCGTATCGTCGAGTAGCGGACCTCTGAGGCCGGAGCCCCATCCGCCGTCAATGCCGGGTCTGTATCCATCGACGCAAGAGACCATTCACGAGACGTCAGCTCGGCTGCTTTTCATGGCCGTCAAGTGGGCTAAAAATTTGCCTAGTTTTGCTAGTTTGCCATTTAGAGATCAGGTATTTATTTATGTTTTGTCAAAAATAAAATTTATTTTGATTATCTAAGGCCCGGTACTTTGTGCTCTTGTTAAATTTCTGATTAACTAATCACGTTGTTAAACTAATCATAATCAAATTGACAGAAAAGTAGTGAATGAGTACTTTATGAGTAAATTTAACAAAGATTAGTTAATCAATATTTGATTTAAGTTTTCAGTAGTGCTACCACTGTCTCTTCTTCTTTTTATTTATTATTTTTTATTGCTCAAATTTGAGAAAAAATGATGAACATACGTTGTGGGATATTTGTAATGTATTAGAAAGAAAAAGTATTACGCATTGTGTCGAAGCTTAAATACACATGTAAGTTAAATCAAGTCTGCTTAAGAAATTGTTGTGGTATTGTTAAGATTTTTACTGCTTTAATTAACTGAATTAGCTGTATTAAAATGAATTTGCATGAGATAGACGACATTTTTTATGACTATGGGGAAATTATTGATTATGTTCGTAATCAACGAACCTATATCGTTGATGAACGTGTGTAGAATGCAGAATTTTTCAGAAGGTTTTCAAAAGAATCAGGTCTTATTCTAAACGAAATAATTGAAATCCTTGTTAGGGACAGATTGATGTAAGTACATAATTTTTTGAATTTTTTATGTTACAATTATATAATGATTTTTACGTTTTATTTTCTTATAGGTACCATGAGGTAGATCCCCTCAAACAACTACTGTTAACCCTTAGATTCTATACTACAGGAAGTTTTTATAATGTCCCAGGTAATTTTGCAGGGATACATAAAACAACAACAGGACGGATAATCCAGAAAGTTACCACAGCATTAGTAATTTTACGAGAACGTTATGTACATATGCCACAGACAGAAGAAGAAAAAACAGAAGGATATGCTCGATGGTCTCATCTTCTTGTTCGCACCCTCTGCAGAGTGCGCATTCTGACACAACCATGAAATGGAAATGCTTCCGTACTTGGCAATGACCAGTCAGAATACCTGTGTCTAGGCGCAGATTCTTTCTAGTCATAGTCGAGCAATCTTAACTTACTCAATCGAACACCGCCTATGTAAATAATATGATATTATGAATTGATGGTACTTTTTTTGATATTTAAAAGATGTGTCAGGTATAGGAACACTGTCAGCTATTGATGCCACTACCTTATGTATTTTTGGTTGTAAAAATAAATGCACAATATTTTGTAAAATACTTTTATTTGTACAATAACGTTTTAAACACAAACATGTGTTATTAACTAATAATGTAAAATAAAACATTAAAAAATGCAAAATTTCGATTTTTAGAAGATTTTCTAAAAATAATTTTTTTTTTATTTGGTGTCATCGGCCTTGACTGCTAAGGTCATTAGCCTCGTGTTCTGTGTAGGCTTTGTTACTGTTTCCCAGCGCCACTTTAGGAACAGCACTGTTAATTAGTACCCAACAGTGAATGGTCGAGTGGGGAATCCTACCAAGGCATCAGAATTAATTTTAAATAATTAAATTAAATAAAAAAATCCCGGCCAACGGTGGGATCTAAAAATTATTAAAAAAAAAAAACAAAAATTTGAAAAACTGGCTCCAGATGAACTGTTTTAACACATACATGTTTTTTCACTAAAAATAAAAAATTAAATGTCCTTATAAATTTTCCCTTAATCTTTTGTTTAATTCACATTTCAACGGATTAACAGATAATAAATCATATTTTACTAATACAATACGTACTATATTAGTTAGTTGACTGGTGTTCATTGTTTTCTAATGTAGTATCAGAAGATACCTCAGTAATGGATTTTTCACATCTGAATCTCCCATAGACGGTAATCCCGAAATGCATCATTTCAAATGAGCATATAACTGCTCTTCATACTAGAGCAATTTTATCACACGTCCAGGTCCACCACCATTACAATTTTTGTTTGATTGAACCATTTTCAATTTTAATGTTCTTTTAATATAATATTTTATTTTCAGGGAATTGATAACTCTATAGTTGTCTGATACCCTATTAAAACTGCTTGCAATTCTTCCCCACGCATCTTTTTTATATCTTTGGCTTACTGCGCCAGGTGTTTTTCCTTCAATTATGTTTATTTCGCATAGAAGGAATTTCATAAAAATGTTTCATTTTGGTTGAAATTGCTGCCTCTTTTCTTTTTCTCATCCTTTCTTCTATTTTCTCCTTATAATTACACTAAACACTTTTATAATATTCAAATTCAACTGCCACATAGAAAAATAAAAAGAATTTAAAATGTCATGTTGAATGTCAGTGTCCAATATCGAAAGTCACATTTTCGTTTGGAACAAGATGATTCAGAATTCTAAACCATGGAATTATAAGTACAGAGCCAATAATTCTTATTAAAGTTTTAATTGATGAAAAAAGATGATGTTAAATATAACAGACGCACGCCCACATTTAATCATGATTAAGGTATAACCATTACGTAAAGTACCGAAATTCTGTGTTAAAATTTGATTTTCTGTTAAATTAACTTAATCAGCTCACAAAGTACTGGGCCTAAGTGTATAATTAACCGTTTTTCTTTCAGGTTATCCTCTTGGAAGAAACCTGGAGCGAATTGTTTCTGTTAAACGCAATCCAATGGTGCATGCCGTTGGATATATCCGGCTGTCCCTTATTCAGTATAAACGAGCACACGAAAAACGGTCATTCCGCAACAGATATCAAATTCTTAGGAGACACGCTGTTGAGGTTCAAAGGAATTCACGTCGATCCAGCGGAGTTTGCCTGTTTGAAGGCTATCGTTTTATTTCGAGCAGGTAAATATTAAGAAATCGACAAAATAACAGAACATTTTATTTCTGTAACGTAATCAACTGTCTTATGTCAATATTGTCGCAATGTCATATGTAATTTTCACCAGCTTGTCATTCGAAGTTCGGAAAGTATACTCTTTTTAGTCGTATTACTCCAGATCTAACTTCAGTCCATGCTTAAAATCATTTATATCTGTAAGGTCGGTTCTGGTTCTTCAGGAACTTAGATGAAACCAGAACAATCAATTTTTTTTATGAACTCAAGTTAGAAACAATTATTATTAGGATATTTCTACTGTATTTTTTCCTACGCTATTAAAATGATAGCCCCACGTTGGGCGCCATTTTGTAACGTGATCTCTAGTTTCGTAAGGATTTATTGATTATATATTTATATGGTGTTTACTGTATTTTTAAATATTCAAATGTATGTTTCAGAAACAAGAGGCCTAAAAGACCCGAGTCAAATAGAAAATTTACAAGACCAAGCGCAGGTCATGCTCTGGCAACACTGCAGAACGCAACTTCCGGGTCAGGTAGCTAGATTCGGACGCCTACTTCTTATGTTGCCTTTGTTGAGATTGGTGCCAGCGCTGAGGATAGAAACGATATTTTTTCAAAAAACCATCGGCAATACGCCCATGGAGAAAGTGTTATGTGACATGTATAAAAATTAATTGTAATTAGAAATAAATGTATTGTTAGAGTGCCTAAATGACATCTTGATACTACACCTATGTCAAACCAGCCAGCTCCAAAACCAGCCAAAGCTCAATGCGCCAATGGTCACAAAATAATATTTTACATTAATAATAATTCGCATTTATTAGAGTATAGGATAAATATCCTTTAACTAGTTGATATGACAAGAAGAGTTAATTTAATTCATGTTATCATTTTATCAACATTATCCCCCTACGAATTATCAAAACCATCTCCGAACTCCAAAGTTAAAAACAAATATTTGGAGACATTTGAGATTTGTTTCCGAATTATTTTCAGTCACTTGGAGAAAATATTTCTCTGACTTCAGATTTACAATTTACGATTTACGATTTACGATTTACGATTTACGATTTACGATTTACGATTTACGATTTACGATTTACGATTTACGATTTACGATTTACGATTTACGATTTACGATTTACGATTTACGATTTACGATTTACGATTTACGATTTACGATTTACGATTTACGATTTACGATTTACGATTTACGATTTACGATTTACGATTTACGATTTACGATTTACGATTTACGATTTACGATTTACGATTTACGATTTACGATTTACGATTTACGATTTACGATTTACGATTTACGATTTACGATTTACGATTTACGATTTACGATTTACGATTTACGATTTACGATTTACGATTTACGATTTACGATTTACGATTTACGATTTACGATTTACGATTTACGATTTACGATTTACGATTTACGATTTACGATTTACGATTTACGATTTACGATTTACGATTTACGATTTACGATTTACGATTTACGATTTACGATTTACGATTTACGATTTACGATTTACGATTTACGATTTACGATTTACGATTTACGATTTACGATTTACGATTTACGATTTACGATTTACGATTTACGATTTACGATTTACGATTTACGATTTACGATTTACGATTTACGATTTACGATTTACGATTTACGATTTACGATTTACGATTTACGATTTACGATTTACGATTTACGATTTACGATTTACGATTTACGATTTACCATTTACGATTTACGATTTACGATTTACGATTTACGATTTACGATTTACGATTTACGATTTACGATTTACGATTTACGATTTACGATTTACGATTTACGAAAAAACTAAAATCTTGAAGACAAAACAATTTTTTAAGTAATTTGCCTCATTAGTACCCAAATTAGCAATATGGAATCCCTCGGTGTCTCTCTGTCTGCCCATCTGTTACTATTTGTATATACAATTGAAATTTAAAGTAATCAGTGGCCCAAATTAGACACTAACATAAATCATATTTAATCAGTGGGGGATTGTCATCGTGTGATATCAATGAAAGTATTTTGAAGCATGTTTTCAGAAATATATAATACGTTTCATTAGATTTCTCTTCCATAATTATTGTAGGTTATTTTCCGACCACTGGCGCATTGAACTCCGGCTAGTTTTGAAATTGGCTGGCTAATCGGAGCTGACATAGGTCTTGATACTTTTTTTTTTAGTTTGACACACGCCTACATAGGTATCTTGATGAAATACCTAAACTAGAATTGTGACAGAAATAGATTGCCATATACCACGAAGACGAAATTTGAGTACGATGCCGAAAGTCAAAAAGTTTAAAAAATTAATTTAGAGTTATATTAATGTAAAATAACTATTTTAAAAATAATTTATGAATTTTACTAATTTATAAAATAAAATAATAGTAGTCCGGTCACTAAATATGAACTATGACTGGAGGATTTCATATCCATACAGTGTCCTTACTAGAATGGATATGAAATTATAATCGTTCAGTAGAACGCATGGCCTACTTTTTCGTTCTGTAGTTTGTACGTAGAATAAATAATAATCAATGTGGGTGTAGAAAATAGTAATTTTTCTACACCCACATGGATATTATTAGCCTATCTACGCACTGTCTACAAAACGAAAAAGTATGCCATTGCGTTCAACTAAACGAATATATTTCATATCCATTCTACCTAGTAAGAACACTGCAAAAAAATGAAATTCACCAATCACAGTTCATAGTAACCTGGCTACTATTATGTTTTAAATTTTAAATAATGACAATTATGTCAAACTAATTTCTATAAGGTGGCGCAAAATCAAGTACCCTATATGGAATGTTGTCATGGTTTCGTTTGTAGTTGACATCTGTTCAAGTTTTTCTGTGGGGTGGCCATTTGGTCGATATTGTTTTTAGTGTGTAACAAAACGAATTTTTAGAGTTTAAATAAATATTTTTAATTTATAATTAATCTTACTTTTATATAAAAAACAAACAGAGGACTTTATTTTGCGCCACCTTATATTTTTATTTGGTCCACATTTAAAAATAATTCATAAAATTTAATCAAACTATATGAAACTAATTTAATTACGAGTATTTAAACTAAAATGTTAAGTATGTCGATGGAGGGGAGAACAAGGCGTTTGGCTTCCATGCGAGAGGCCTGCGTTCAAAACTAGGTTTTATGTTTAATTTATTTTATAAATTAGTAAAAGTCATAAATTATTTTAAAATTAGTTTTATTTTGTCTTAATGACCTAAAATAATTTTTAAAATCTGTAGATTTTCGTAAAGAAATATACTGTACAACTCGAGTGGATTGCCCATATCCACCCTTCTTGCACAAACTTTTATTTTCATATTTGTTCTCGATTATTATTAATAGCGCTTTTAAAAAAGGTTTCAACTGTCAAAAATTATGAATATTGCACTGCCGAAGATATAAAAATCATTTTATTTAACATAAAACAGATGCAAGAACAGTGGCGGCTGATGAGGGGGGCGCTGGGGCAAGCAATTCTAAATAATCAAATATATTAAATAATTACTTTTGGTTGACGAACACACAATATACAAAACAAATCAATCGGTCAACTTCCACAGAGCAAAAGAATGGCTGATCATTCGGAAACCCTATTTAAATGGCAAATTTCATCGTAAGACCACGCAAAAGCGAAACTATTGATGTTAACATTCTACAAGTGTCTTTGAAAATACAAGCTCGTACCAGTGGTAGGCCTGAATATTTTCCCAGGAGGATATAATTATTGAATGTCGTTAATATTCCAGGAATAAAACTGAAAAGTTATTTATAACGTTACATCAAACACAAATAAATGCAATAAAGGTTCTGAGCGAACAATTTAATTAGCTACGGATGAGCCATCGTTCCTAGTGCCGATAAAGCACTTTCTAGAGATGATGCTGTTCTATACTTTTTAGAAGATATTATCAAATATTATGAGACTATTTTTACTGATAGTACTGTTAGAAAAATAAAAAGGGGAAAGCTAAAATTAAAGGATGAGGTAATACCATAATTGTGAAGTGTGGTCATTAAAGAGCAAAAAAAAAGGTTTATAGAGAACACGAACACAACAAACAAAGAAGACCCCAACAATATATTGTATACGTCAAATGGAAACGTACGCATAAAAAAGAAAAAGTACAAAATGTTGCTTCGAGTGCACTAGAATTCTCAGAGAATGTACTAGATCTAGTACAATTGTACTAGACTGACAACACTGGTTGGCGTCGTTGCCGGACACAGCTCAGTCAGCCCATCTGGCGATCGTTTTTTGGTTTGTTTTGCAATGTTGATCTAGGTATTGTTTATTTATCTTCGTAATAATTATTTATCAGCCGCTTAAATTTATATGATTTTTGGTATTGATTTTTTGATGCCCCTATGCTCAGCCATCCATATTACACAATTCACAAGCCGCCACTAATTTTGTGTCTAATTTTTTAAAAGAACAAAAGTTCATAGGTCAAATTTAGGGACTCTATACTGTATTTTATATAATTCCAATATTTGTAATTTAAGAGAAATCAAATACAAAACTATGCTTTAATCCAGCTAAAATAAATTATTAGGTCAGTTATATTGTTTTGTTTCAAACAAAAATAAAATATTTAAGAATGGGATAGAACAAGTGAAAATCTTCTGATTTAAAATATGATGATTAAACGAAATATGCTTATAAGTAAAATGTTTGAAATTTTAACTTTAACACCCTGTGTTTCGGAAACCAGTAACATTTAACCTAAAAATGTTTCGTTTAATTGTCTTCAGTTGTTCTATGTCGCATTATTAATGGGACACACTGTATCCAGAAATGTCAATTTATCTTTGTGTACTGAACTGATAATTTCTGGCTGATTGGAACAAAAAGTGTTTTGTATAATACAATTAGTTGTTATTTTTTAACAGTCAATGAACACCATGGCCTAAAATTCTATCTAGTCAAAATTAATATTATCAAAATTGATTGTATATATCGATGTAATTATTTATTGTAATATATTCATTAATAAATTTAGTGTTTCTTTTCTCCCTTTCTTCAAATGTGAAATATTTGCTACAAATATTTCACACCAAATCAAAATAAATTAAACTAAACCTAAACAAACCTATTCCTCCCGTCCCTAAGTTACTGCCTTAAAGATACTTCGTCCCGTTCAAGGTACTGACTTGAACGAGTGTCCAGAAATCCGACCACCAAACATACTAGACTCAACCTGTCTCCCGACCATCCCTTCGTGATGCACTGGGACTTTCCAATTTCGAATACCGTTTGTTAGGATACAATAAAGCGTCTATCTAGCCGATGACCAACAAATCAACAACGCAAAACGTCATGAGGAATTATTTTAGACAAGGGGTTACACATTTTGTAAATAGTACTTTGTAAACAGTACTTTGTAAATAATACTTTGTAAATAGTACATTGTAAATAGTAGGTACTTTGGAAGTAGTCCTTTTTAAATAGTACTTTTTAAATAGTACTTTATAAATAGTACTTTGTAAATAGTACTTTGTAAATAATACTTTGTAAATATTTATTTTATGTTCGAATGTTGTCTCTGACTGTACAACCCTACCCGGTGAAACGTAACTACCCTTTCCTCGGCTACAAAGGTGTTA